GCCCATTTTTTTGCATGTGGTTGCCAGTTATGCCAGCACAATTTGTAAAAGAGGCTTTCCTTGATCCAGTTCACATTTCTTGCTCCTTTATCAAAGATTAGATGTTCATACATTTGGGGTTGTGTGTACGGATATTCCACCTTGTTCCATTGGTCTGTGGCCCTGCCTTTGTTCCAGTGCTGTTTTAATTATTACCGCTTTGTAGTAGAGCTTGAGGTTGGGGAGGGTGATACCTCCCCAAGTCTTTTTCACAAGAGCTTCTTTAGCTATTCGTGGGCGATTATTGTTCCATATGAATTTCGGAGTGCTTCATCTATTTCTTTGAAGAATTTCATGGGTATCCTTATAAGGATCACATTAAATCTATATAATGCTTTCAGGAGTATTGCCATTTTGGCGATTTTAATTTTTCCTATCCATGAGCAGAGGATATATTTCCATTTCCTCGTGTCCTCTTTTACTTCATGGAGTGGCTTTTTGTAGTTTTCACTGTAGAGGTCCTTTACCTCTTTAGTTAGACTGATTCTGAGATATTTGATTTTCTGGGGCACAATTGTGAACGGGATTATTTTTTTCATATCACTTTCCCCTCTCTCATTATTTGCATATAAGAAGGCCATGGATTTTTGGGCATTGATTTTATAGCCTGCGACTTTACTGTATAAGTCTATTGTGTCTAGGAGTTTCTTAGCAGAGAATTTGGAATTCTTGAGATATAGTATCATATCATCTGTGAATAGTGAGAGCTTGATTTCTTCCTTTCCTATCTGGATGCCTTTAATGTCTTTTTCTTGCCTAATCGCTATTGCAAGTACTTCCAGCACTATGTTAAATAGAAGTGGTGACATTGGGCATCCTTGTCTTGTACCTGATCTTAGAGGATAGACCCCTAGTTTTTTCCCATTGAGGATAATGCTTGCCATGGGTTTGTCATAGATGGCTTTGACTATCTTGAGGAAAGTTCCTTCAAAACCCATTTTGGTGAGAGTTTTCATCATAAACAGGTGCTGGATCTTATCAAAAGATTTCTCTGCATTTATTGATATAATCAATATTGTTTTTATCTTTACTTTTGTTGATATGATGGATTATGTTGATTGATTTCCAAATGTTAAACCACGCTTGCATACCCGGGATGAATCCTACTTGGTCGTGGTGTATGATCTTTTTTATGAGTTGTTGGATTCTATTTGCTAATATTTTGTTGAGGAGCTTCACATCCGTGTTCATCAGGGATATTGGCCTATAGTTTTCTTTGTTGATGGTGAACATTTTTTTTAAGAGTTGGTTTATTACTGGTCTTTTTTTTTTAACCTTTGGGATTAGAGCACCAGAATTTCATTTTTGGCAACTCTCATTGAACTTACTTAATACTTCTATTTAAATGTACAATTGTCAGAAGATAACAAAAATTATAGTGTCCTCAGAAGAATAGCTATTCTCCTAATAATGGCTTTTCACAATAATTTTCAGTTCTTTGCTATTTCATATATGTTATATTATATTACAAAAATACAGATAAAACTACTTTGCTTTCTTGGGGCTGGAGTGATAGCACAGCAGGTAGGGTGTTTGCCTTGCACACAACCGACCTAGGTTCGATTCCCAGCATCCTATATGGTCCCCTTGAGCACTGCCAGGAGTTATTCCTGAATGCATGAGCCAGGAGTAACCCTTGAGCATTGCCAGGTATAACCCAAAAAGCAAAAACAAAAAAACAAAAAACCTACTTTGCTTTCTAATATTTAACTTTTAGTGTGTCACTATATTGTTGAGTTTTTATTCATCTCAACAATACACGATATGATACATAAAAAGTGAGAAATGGAACAGTGGGCTGTGGCGCAGGCAGGATGTGAAGAGAAGTTTGGCAGACCAGGAGCAGCCTCCCAGGCTCTTCCAGAAAGACGGGTGGAGGATGGGTAACAGGTGAACTCCCCAACCTCATCCCATCTCTCCCTTTACTGCAGAGTCATTGTTGTCAGAGTTCCATAATCCTAGTCTCCTCGTGGACCTCCAGTCTCCAAAATCTCAGTTTTCCTCCACATCTTCTTGTATTCCCTTTGTTGCTGTATTCTCTATTTTCTTCCTTTGTGCTCTGCTTCTATGTGTGCTGTTGTGCTCTTTTCTGTCTCTGTCTTCTGTCCGTGCGGACCTTGTAATCTTCTGACTTCTCCCAACCTTCTAATCTTGTAAACTTGTCACCTCGTAACTTCATCTCTTTGTCTCTTTGTCACTCTGTCTCCTGCTTTCTAGTCTGCTGCTGTTGTCCTCTTCTTCAGTCTCTGGTCTCTTCTTCTGACCTCTTTTAACCCTGTTACCATGTAACTTTCTGACGACAACCTAGTAACTTTCTGATGATGACCTTGTAACTATCTGAGGACTGCTCAGCTAGTAATTCACTTAAATTGTTAAAGTAAATTTACTTCTTATAATATTTCTAACAATGTCATTTTGTATGAGCACAGTAAGAGTAAGTAAGCACAAGCTTAAAGTTTGGTTCTTCCTGGGGACATCTCACTATATATTCCAGACCACAGTCCTCAGGCCAGGTTAGTCTTCCTAACCCCAGCAGGGTCCTTATTTAGTTATCTCTTTTGGTTCATGGCAGAGTTTGTCCATGACCGTGCTCTTAACTTATACTTTAGTATTATGGTGCTTGGCCTGGCCCATTTTGATGCCAGGGTAGCTCACTGCTTGCCCTGGGTCCATCAGTCCCTCATCAGGACTCTGCTCTTGGAGTACCAGGAACTAAGGGCAATCAAGTAAATATGGATGCCCAGGAATAAATATTATTTTGGAGTCAATTAACTTGCATGTTACATAGCATAGTGTCAATTAACACGAATATTAAATAAGCACAGTGTCAATTGTCTTCCTGTGTCTATACAAAAAGTACATTGCTAAATAAACCATTCAAATGATACAAAGGAAAGAGAAAAGCAATATAGGAGTATTAGTTGTGCCTCAGTTGCTCTGTTGTAGGAGTGGTTCATAAACTTTAAGCTCCCTGCAGGAGCAGTAAAGTGTTATCCGACACTATATATTTATTGCGGGCTAGAGCGATAGCACAGCGGTAGGGCGTTTGCCTTGCACGCAGCCAACATGGCTGACCCGAGTTCAATTCCTCCATCCCTCTCGGAGAGCCCGGCAAGCTACCGAGAGTATCTCGCCCGCACGGCAGAGCCTGGCATTATTTTTACCTTTTTGGCTCCTGGCTCTGCACTTAGGAATTATTCCTGGTGATGCTCAAAGTAAATATGGGATGCCAATTATTGAACCAGTGTAGATTGCATGCAAGGCAGGTGTTTGGAAAGCGGCCTGGAGTGTGGCGGGTAGGTGTTTACCCTACTCGCTGTACTATCGCACTGGTCCAGCACTATATATTTTTGTCTAATTTTTATTTTTACTTATAAGACAGTTTCCATAATTTAAACTTTCTTTCAACTTTACTAGTTCATGACAGATGCGATTCTTTACACAAAGTATTTTCTCTCACTATCCTATTTATCTCCGTGCAAGTATTTTCTCTCACTATCCTATTTATCTCCGTGTTTTCACTCGGAGCACCCCAGAGGGGGCAGGTGAGAGCCCTCCCCACCCCACAGGACCCAGCCCCGGCAACTGACCTCCACTACACAACTGCTGCTACACTCCAGGCCGCTTTTCACATGCTTGGGCTAGGCCTCACATATGAGTGAACATATTTCTGGACACATACATATAAAACACTCCCTACCCATTTTCCATAATGACCACACCATACTTGATGTGGTTCAGACAGTAGGAAATAAATCATAGGAAAAATATATATATTTATATGCCTCTTGGAGAGTCTGGCAAGTTACCAAGAGTATCCCAACCACAGGGCAGAGCCTGGCAAGCAACCCGTGACGTATTTGGTATGCCAAAAACAGTAACAAGAAAGGTCTCATTCCCCTGACCCTGAAAGAGCCTCCAATTGTTGGGAAAGATGAGTAAGGAGAGGCTGCTAAAATCTCAGGGTTGGGACAAATGGAGACATTACTGGTGTCCACTCGAGTAAATCGATGAACAATGGGATGACAGTGATACAGTGATCCTATTTATCTATCTGAGCCACATTATAAAAGAAAATTTTATATTATTTCATAAAACACACATTTATAAAATAATGCTTGACATTTATTTCAATTTAAAATATTTTAATACGACCATGATCCCAGAGACTCAGAAACAAATCTTGAAACCCAGTGTCTTTTGGCAGAAATGTGTCCAGACCCCGCAGTAGGTTACTGTTGCTGGGCCACCCCAAGGGGGAAAGGGTGCTGCCCCTCCACCTGCTCCCTCTTGGAGGCTCAGTGGCCGCCATCTGCCAGAGGCCACTGGACAATCAGGTTTGGGCCTGCAGTGACGAGAAACCCAGGGCCTCACGGGATGGGGCTGGAGCCAGCCCTTTCCTCACCATCCCAATGAGACCCTGAGTTGCCGTCCATGAATAGCCTTTCTGGCTCCTGACCAAGCAATCTGCTTAATGGCCATGATCCCAGAGACTCAGGAACAAATCTCAGAACCCAGCAGGTTTTGGCAGAAATCCCTCCAGATTTAATTGTTAAAATTTCGGAATTTCAAAATCGTGTGGCCACTACAGCAGCCACATGGCATCATATGTTATTCATAACTATCAATAGAAAACACATTATCTACTGTTGCCTTTTCAGCAGATCTGGGTGTTGGGGTAAAATCCCAAATAATATGGTGGGTCTGGTGCCAAAATATTGAATGTAATCAAAGGAGAGAGAGAGTAATGTGGAAATCATCTGCCCCACAGGTAGGGGGAGGGTAGGGGATAGGGGTATACTGGGGTTTTTGGGAATGGAGAATGCGCACTGGTGAAGGTACGGGTGTGTCATTGTATTACAGAGACTTAAACCCAAAAGCTTTGTAACTTCTCTCATGGTAATTCAATAAATAAAATTATAAAAAATAAAAATAAAATATTTTAATGGTAAATAACTTACGGAGGTGCATAGTTGCATACAAATATTGTAGTGTGATATCCTCCAAGATTGGGACACAATGCAGCTGCACAACCAACTTTATTTGAAACGGCCCAAACCACCTATAAAAGAGAAAAAAATTTTGACTATGTAAAGCCATGATGGGGCTGGAGCGATAGCACAGTGGTAGGGCATTTGCCTTACAAGCGGCTAACATGGCCGACCCGAGTTCGATTCCTCTGCCCCTCTTGGAGAGCCCGGCAAGCTACCAAGAGTATCTCGCCCGCACGGCAGAGCCTGGCAAGCTATCCGTGACGTATTCAATATGCCAAACACAGTAACAACAAGTCTCATGATGGAAACGTTACTGGCCTGCTCGAGCAAATCGATGAACAATGGGAGGACCGTGACCGTGACCGTGAAAGCCATGATGCAAGTATTATATTGATATAGAAATATACCATGTCCTTGTCATGTGAAGAAATAAATCTATGTTATATACAGGCAATGTTTTCTTTATTCTTAAACTTTTGTTTAAATAGTTATTTTTAAGTCCTTTCTCATGAGTTATCTAGATTAGATTAGATATAGTTAACTAGATTTTCCCAGTGATTCTCATAAATCAGAAGGAGGATATAAAGGATAGCCCTAATTACATTTTCTTCAACTTGTGACATTTATGTATTTTTGTTTTCTCCATGACAATAATCAAATAATATAAAGGTAGGGACCAGACATTATTGCAAGCAACCCATTCCAGTTCCATATCTGATGCTTACATATGGCCCCCTGAGCACCACAAAGAATGACCCCTGAATACTGACCAGTAGTTGTTTTTTGGGGGGGAGGGTCATACTCGGCAATGCCCAGGGGTTACTTTTGGCTCTGCACTCATAAATTACTCCTGCCGGTGCTCAGGGTACCATATGGGGAATCGAACCCGGGTCGGTCATGTGCAAGGCAAACGCCCTACCCGCTGTGCTATTGCTCTAACGCCCAAAAGTTAGTTCTGAGCAGTGCTAGTGTGGCCCTCCAACCAAAACATTTGTTTTCAGAAAAATTCTTAGTTTATAATTACCTTGCAAAACTTGAGGTTTTAACAATTTATGTTACATATGTTATATCACAAGAGAAATTAGTAACATTAATGAAAGAAAATACCTGCCACCAACATAATAAATCTTTTGCTTAGTTGAAAGATTAATGAAGTAATTCAAAAGGAAGAGTAATTCTTATCTAAAACTGATCATGGGTAGAGAGATATAAAAGTAAAGAGCATTCATTTTTCTTTGTGACAATAGTGGAATTTTCCTGGGAATATACTGCCTTATTCTATTCAGATAATAAAATAACTCTTGTAAAGCAGACAGATTTCTAGAATATGTGTCTTTTCAAGTTACAGGATGTATTAACAGAATTTGTAAGCTGATGTTTTCTAGTATCATGATCTGGGCGTAACCAAAATAAACAGTTTTGCTGAAAAATATGTTAATGTCTCTTTTCAATAAAAAACACAAGGAACTGAGAAGAGTTGGTTTATTTATAACCATATGTGCAAATTTGGAGTGTGAAAATTAATTTCTAGCTAGTTCCCCAATTTAATAAGATTAGATCCTTTTAAAAACGTTTTTTCAGTATCCATTTATTTTGATTTGTGAGGTGATGAATTTTATTCAATTAAGAAAATTAAGTTCAACACAAAATATAAACTCAAAGAATAGAATAAGGGCTGGAGTGATAGCACAGCCAGTAGGGCTTTTGCCTTGCACGTGGCCAACCAGAGTTTGATTCCTCCGTCCCTCTCAGAGAGCCTGGCAAGCTATCAAGAGTATCCTGCCTGCACGGCAGAGCCTGGAAAAGTCCCCGTGGTGTATTCAATATGCCAAAAACAGTAACAACAAGTCTCACAATGGAGACATTACTGGTGCCCACTTGAGCAAATCCATGAACAACGGGAGGACAATGCTACAGTGCTACAGAATAGAACAAAATCAGGAGAAAAAGAAATAGTAAAAGGAAGAGATCAGAATTGCCAAAATTGGGAAGATCTCCTGTCCCTCCTCTTGGGGCAATGACTCAAAATCAATTAGATAATACTACACATCTTTTTATATATATATTTATATCTTTATATAAATATATTTATGTTATATAAATGCATATATAAATATATGTATATGAGTAAATATTTATTATGCATGTATACTGGAGTGATAGCACAGTGGTAGGGCGTTTGCCTTGTGCGCAGCCAGCCCTGGCCAAGCTGGATTTGATTCCTCCGCCCCTCTCAGAGAGCCTGGCAAGCTACTGAGAGTATCTCACCCACATGGCAAAGCCTGGCAAGCTACCCGTGATGTATTCAATATGCCAAACACAGTAACAAGAAGTCTCAAAATGGAGACATTACTGGGCTCACTCGAGCAAATCGATGAACAACGGGAGGACTGTGACAGTGACAGTGCTGTTGTGTTATATAGATACAATATTACACACATATTAACATTTATGTGTATGTGTAAACATATATATGAACATAAATAAGTGTACACATAAATATATGTATATATAAATATTTCATATATTATTTGTATGTATACATTTATTTATGTATATACATATATTAGGTTGGCATTTCTTTATTTAGTTAATAAAAGATAGAGATAGGAGACTAGAAACTTAGTCACTAAGAAATCATTTGATCTCTCTTCTTCCTCTTCACCCGGTTTCTCCAAGCAGGCGAAGGAATGCAGTCAATGTTTGAGGATGTTAAGTGGGAAGGAAGTATCCACTATTGACAGTGAAACAGACTATTGCAAATTAAGCAGTACATCATAATGCTTGGAGTTGAAAATGGGGATAATACTGTTAACACCTCCTTTAAACTGAGAAGAACAGAAATACCCAGGATTTAGGACATACACCCCTCTTCCCCCAAATGCTATCAAAGGAAATTCTGAGCCCTTCCCTCACAAAGACAGGTGAGGACAGGATAAAATGGAATTCACCCAGTCTAAGCAACATAAAACAATTTCATCCTCCAGTGCAAACAGAACCAGGAAGCCACTAAAGAAAAGAGGAGAATTCTGGCGAGGTGGCTGCAAAGGCAGAGTCCATGGCCCCAGGCTTCTCTGTCCCCTACCACCATCTCCTCCCCTACTGTTTTTCCCTTAAGTATCCTTTTCCTCTCTTCAAGAGATTTGTTTTTCTTGTGTTCATCCTTTCCCCCACACTTCCCCATATTTTTAGGCAAAACAGTATCTGTCACTTTACTTGACAATAAATAATTATTATTGACTTGACCCTCAATAATAAACATCAACAACTTGACCAAGTTGTTGAATGTTCTCTCTCAATTCTTGGAAACCCCTGAATGTTTTTTTTTTTTGGCACTCAGCCTCATCTTTGCAGCTAATATTTCCCTTTATTTTTTTTTCAATATTTAGCATTAAGTTGAGTCTCATTTCAGATCCCACTTTAAAATCATATGCAGAAAACGCAAATGACCACACATTTCATGTCCTTTTATAGCAGGAAAAACCATGCTACTTTGAGGCGGGGATCAAACTGACCTTTGATCACTTTCCTTTTGAATGGTTTATGATAGGACTGTGATGAAACTGTAAGTCCATATGTTTTGAAAAAATCATTTTTAGAAATTTTTATGAATAGCGACTTCAACATGAAGTGCAATTTCTTAATAGATACTATTGTGATTACCTTTTGGCTTTGATAATGTAAAATAAATATTGATTAAATGTAGGTTTAAAATAATTTGTTTTCTTTAAAAGGAATCAATGTAATGTTAATATCACCATTGGTTCTAACTTCAATATGAGTATCTGAAAATGTAAATGCCTGACATTTATAGCTCATTTTGCCCAAAACATTAAGCAAATATAGATGTTGAAGCAATATCAACCCTTTCTTAACTATTAAGTTAATATTTAATACTTAATATTTCTTAACTATTAAGTCTGCAATTTCTCAATTCACTAATGAACAATAAGATCCTTTTTTCTGATATAGCAATACTAGAAAAGGAACATTTGGAAATAGGTTCCTCTTTCCTTGCAGCAAAGGACAATGTATTCTCTGCTTATTAATTTATGGTGCTGGACATTGAACTGGGGCTTCACATATGTGAAGTCTGTGCCCCACAGGAGCCATATCCCAAATCCCAGACAAAGGATTATTTAACAGCAGTGACTCAGCCTGAATGCCATGTTAGGAATATTGCTATTCTGTTTATTTTCAAGATAACTGACATTTGATTCTGCATTCTCAATTTTCCCAGCAGGAACCAAAACACGTTATTTGCAAGTGTTCATTCTGAAAGGGGTTCCTACTTACAGTATTCTGTTTGTATCCTGTTGTGAGACAAAAAGTAAATAAGGAAGGAAATATAAGATTGGCTAAAATACTTTGATCAGGGCTCCTCGATAAAAGTGACAAGTGAACTCTGTGTGTTATTTTAAAAATAGGTAAAGGAGCAAACATGGTAACCTTTCAGTATCTGTATTGCAAACCATAACGCCTAAAAGGGGTGGGAGTGGAGAGGGGGGCAGGAGGGAGGGAGGGAGGGACAGAGAGAGAGAGAGAGAGAGAGAGAGAGAGAGAGAGAGAGAGAGAGAGAGAGAGAGAGAGAGAAGTGCCTGCCATGGAGACAGGCTGCTGGGCTGGGGGAGACCCTGCAGGAGAGGTGAAAGGAGGGAAACTGTGGTCATTGGTGGTGAGAAACGTACATTGGTGGAGGAATGGGTGTTGAAACATTGTATGACTGGAACCTGACCAAGATCAGCCTTATAACTGTATCTCATGGTGATTCAATAAAAAAAAAAACAGAAAAAACATTGTGTCAATTAAGTTTGTATAGATGAGGCCTCACTTCTGCCCAAAGTTCCCTTCTGTAATAACCAATTGGAAAAACAATAAAAAATAATGGGTTGTTTTGGTTTTTGATACTGAACATTAAAAAACAAGACAATCTGTCCAAGAGAGGGGTGCAATGGGAAAAGGCTGTGAGTTGTATACTTTTCCCAGTTTTTTTTTTCACTATTTAAAATTTTGGCGGTTGATGGGATTCACGTTAGGAACCCAGGCATGCGGGTCTAGGGGCTGAGATCTCCAAGCCTGCTCGCATTGGGGCTGAGCATGCTCCACCCAGATCCCCATCTTCCAGTAGGCAAACATCACACCCACCAACTGCCCCCGGCGCCAGGTAATCCCATCAGTGGCCAAGACCAGAGACTATAAAACCCAGCTACCGGAAGCATTTGCGGCCACAAGACATCTTATTATCTTGTTCTTACTTTGGACAACCTGGCAGGCTACCAAATGTATCCTGCCCGCACGGCAGAGTCTGGCAAACTCCCCGTGGCGTACTCAATATGCCAAATACCAGTAATAATGATGGGTCTCATTCTTCTAACCCTGAAAGAGCATTTCACAGGGCTATGAGGAAGGAGACGTTACCAGTGCCTGCTCAAGGCAATCGACGAACAACAGGATGATCGTGATCGTGATTTAAAATTATATAGTAAAGTGACTGTGTTGATATATAGGGGTTCCTCTCCATCAATTCAGCAGGACATTAACCAGACTAGACAAGTGAAAAAATTTGCCCTAACCTGGTAAAGAACCACCTATTAAAAGTTAACAGAAACAATTCTGAGTCTTGTACCAGAACAGGAATGGGCCCTGTTCCCACTAGCTGGGCTGGACAGCTTCATAATTTCTGGGGCTTGGGTAGAATATTTAGAAGACCTTGGCTTACTGTTGAGAGATAATTAGTCTAAGACTAAAGAGTGTTTTCATTCCACCCAAAAAGCATTTTAAATGTAGGCAACATGTTAAGAAAGTTTTTTAAAAAAATGTTTATACATTATTTAAAACCCAGAAACCCAAAGATTCAAAATTCAAGCAACAATTATATCCCAGAAGATTGTCACTGTCACTGTCCTCCCATTGTTCATTGATTTGCTTGAGTGGGCCCAGTAACGTCTCCATTGTGAGACTTCTTGTTATTGTGTTTGGCATATCGAATACGTCACAGGGAGCTTGCCAGGCTTTGCTGTGCAGGCGAGATACTCTCGGTAGCTTGTGGGGCTCTCTGAGAGGGGCGAAGGAATCTAACCCGGGTTGGCCAGGCCGGCTGCATGCAAGGCAAACGTCCTACCCATTGTGCTATAGCTCCAGCCCTGCTATCATATCATTCCAGCCCATCCCAGAAGACAATTAAAAATATATAAAAATAAAGATAAATTAGCATGCAACAAGATAAAATTTACCTAACAAGCTAAGGGGCAAGGCAATTCAATCCAGAATAAAAATTTTAAGTAAATCAAATGAAACTAATCCAGAGTTCACATAAGTGTCAGAATTAGCATGAAAAACATAATAATTATTCTAACTGTATCCCAGTGCTCAAAAAAAGCTAGATAAATAATCATATGCACTACCTGTGTCAATAACAAAGAGAAGACAAAAACAACTCGAGTAAATGTAAACTTTAACATCTAACATAAAAAATAAACTAAATGTCATCACAGTAGATTAAACATTATAGAAGAAATTTTTAGAAGCAAGAAAAAGATACAGAGTGTTCTTCCTCCTAGGTAACTGGATTTTGGGAAGAGAAATTATTTAAAGTGAATGCTAGAAGCAGTTCAAATGACAATGTTCAGCATTTTTCTAAGTTTTATTTAAAACAGGCAGCCACAATTTCAATCACAGCATAAAAGCCTGAATAAAATTTCATTGCATTTTGAAATTGTTTAGGGATTGAAATAAAGGAATAATTATAAAGAGAAAAAGACACTTTACGTTCAGAAAAGTGTATTACAATATATTTCTTGTTTCATATGAGATGACTATGAATTTTACAAAAAAACAAAAACAAAAATGGCACTCTAAGTGAATTCCATTCCTAAGGAAAATATCTTCCTAGTTGTGTAAACACACAAAAAAGGACGGGCTAAGGGGACGGCAGCGGCGTATCTCTCCCGCCGCCCGCGTTCGGTAGTCGCAGGCCGTTTCCCACTGCAGGGAGGTGGATGGCTATGGTCTGGCGAAGGAAGGAAACGAGGGCCAACCTGGTTGGTCTTAGCAGCAGTTTATTACATGGAAGAGATGTATGTCATGGAGGCTCCAGGATCTCTCAAGCACGTGCACCTTTGTTCTCTCAGCTTCTGTCCTCAGCCCCATCTTCCCAGGTTCTCTGATGCATGTGTCCCCCAGAGAGCCCTGAAATCTCCCTTATATGGATCACAGTACCTCTAAAGGGCGCAATATAGTGATGTCATCAAAAGGAGTTACAGAAAGAACATTGTGGTGGCAAACCATACATTGTTTCTTTACAATCACATTGTTTCCTTAAATCCGGAGGCCAGTAATCCTGGCCCTTTTACAAACTACTAGCACTTGTATTAGCACATCAAAGACCAGTCTTCTAGAACTTGGAATCTACATCCCAAAGATCAGGCCTGGTTTAGCACCTGGGATCTGCATACCTAAGACCAGCTAGGTTCCTGTGAGATAAGGGAAACTGCCTCAATATACTGAAATCATTTACTGAAGGCAGTTTGAAGGGGAGAAAGGTTCAGTCTCATCCAAGCTAGTCAGGACATACATGGGAAAGCAGTTTCTAGGGCAGATTCTCATTTAGCAGATCAACCCACCCTAGAACAGATTTCCCTGGAGAATTTCTCCTCTCCTTGTCCGACCAACATATAAGCATACATAATATAAATCATTTTGTATGGACACAGTAAGAAATACTTTGAGCTTATAGAATTGCTCTCCTAGGGCCATCTCGATCTCAGACTGTAGTGCTCAGGCCAGATATCTTTCCTATTCCTAGCAACAGGGTCCTAGTCTTGTCGTTACCTTTGGATCATGACAGCATTTGCCTATGATCAAACTCTTAACCTATAGTTAAGAATCGTGGCACCTTGGCCTGGCCCATCTCGATGCCAGGGTAGCACATAATTTACCAGCTTGCCCTGGTTCCATCCAGTCCCACGTCAGGACCCTGCCCTTGGGGTGCTAGGAAGTAAGGGCAACTGAGGCTTAAGTTGAGAACGCAGATGCCCAGGAGTGAATAATATTCAAGGCCAATTAAATCCTAAGTTATAAAGCATAATGTTAACGGTCTTCCTGTATCTTTACAGAAAGGACATTGCATCAAACTATTCGAAAGACATAAGGAGAGGAGAAAGGCAATATTAACTTACAGTACGGCTTCAGTGTCTAAGAAGGATGAGACCTTACAAATTGGTTGGGGAAGAGAGCATAGAAGTGGTTACAGACGAACAAAGTAATGGGAGTGACTCGGAAGCACTGTGATGGGTGCAACCCGATAAACCTAAGCTCCTTGTACTCCAACACTAGTGAAGGTGAGGTTTTCAGCTACTCAGCTGAAACTCATACTAATAATGAATCAACAAAAAATTAAATATTTACCTGAGTATAATGGCCACAAACATCAGTACATGCTAGAGTATTATAATTATAATATTGAGTTTCATTATACCAAGCTTCAACAGCTGACTTTGGTGAAAATATGCTTAATGATCCCAGCCAAATATTTTCTCCAAGAAATTGATGATTTGGATCACATGCAAATGGTGATGATAGACAACCATTGTGTTCAAATTTGCACTTGTTTGCCCATTTGTAAGCAACCTTTGCTAAACTGGATTCCCAACTCTGAAAGATAAAAAAAATAATAATTTAAATTAAAATGTGCAATGTAAAGTTATTCTAATAATAATAACATATTTAAAGTTACTATTAATTTTAATTCAGGGTAATTATTGTTCGGTATTTGTTATGTTCAGATCAGAGTGAGTCATTTCTTTTTAGCACTGCTCAGCGTTATTTGTATAGTATTCACTACTTCGCAATTCATCTTTGTATTTCCAATAACTTGTAGTTGACCTGATATGGTAGAGGCATTCAACAAATGTCTTTGAATGTGATTTAAATGTAAGCATTCAGAGTCTAGAAACTCAGATCTCATGAAAGTAAAAGTAGCACCGTCCTCCCGTTGTTAATTGATTTGCTTGAGCGGGCCCAGTAATGTCTCCATTGTGAGACTTTGTTGTTACTGTGTTTGGTATATCACACACATCACAGGGAGCTTGCCAGATACTCTCAGTAGCTTGCTGGGCTCTCCAAGAGGAGCGGAGGAATGGAACTCTGGTCTGCCAGATGGGCCGCATGCAAAGCAAATGCCCTACCCACTGTGCTATCGCTCCAGTCCGAAAGTAAAAGTAAAGAGAGAAAAGCCCCATAAGCACTAGTAATAAAATTTCCTTATTTTGTTGGAGTAATTACAAAGCAAAACCAAAACCCCTAAATAAGCCTATAGTGAATATTCATATAAAATGATAAAGAATTGAAAGATTGTTTTTCAAAATTGGGAATGAAACAAGAAGTCTTAGTATTTCCATTTAAACTTGTAGTAAAATCTTTAGTATGTAATAAAGTATTTGAATTATAAATATATGGCAATAATATATCATGTTTAGTAGTTGGGATGTCATTATTTACAAATAACTTTGTGTATGTAGAGAATTTAAATAAATACACAAAAATGTAAGAGGATAAGTTATTGTAGTTTCTAGGTATGTGCAAGATATAAAAATTATATATTTAATTATTTAATTATATGTATTTCTATTTTAAAATTATATTTATTTATTAAATTATATATTTATATATTTATTAATTTATTAGTTATGAGTAAAATATACAATGCCCACTGTTCACTGTTCTCCCATTGTTCATCGATTTGCTCGAGCAGGGCCCAGTAATGTCTCCATTTTGACTTTGTTACTGTGTTGGGCATATTGTTGTTACTGGTTTTGGCATATTGAATATGTCACGGTCACGGGGAGCTTGCCAGGCTTTGCCATGCAGGTGAAATACGGACAAAATACTCTCGATAGCTTGCAGGGCTCTCCAAGAGGGGCATAAAAATCGAACCTGGCTCAGTTGGGATGGCTGTGCGCAAGGCAAACACCCTACCACTGTGCTATCGTCCAGTCCCAGCATCACATTTGTTGGGGTTCAGAATAGGCTATTATGAATAGTGCTTCAATAAACATAGAACTACATACGGATTCCTGCTGTGTGTTTTTTGGGCTCTGAGGATATATTCCTAGAAGTGGTATTGCCGGGTTGTATGGGAGCTCAATTTTTAGTTTTTTGAGAAATGACTATATTAGGGCTGGAGCGATAGGACAGCGGGTAGGGCATTTGCCTTGCATGTGACTGACATGGCCAACCCGGGTTCGATTCCTCTGCCCCTTTTGGAGAGCCCAGCAAGCTACCAGAGTATCTTGCCCGCATGGCAAAGCCTGGCAAGCTACCCATGACATATTCAATATGCCAAACACAGTAACAAGTCGTCTCACGATGGAGACGTTACTGGGCCCGCTTGAGCAAATTGATGAACAAAGGGAAAATAAACAATATTTAAATTAGAAAATTTCAAAAACATTAAATATGTATAAATAAATAACTTATATAGTCTTTAAAAACACCTTTGCATGAAAGCTATATAAAACACCAAATTAACTTTTTTTTTGTTTTTGGGCCATGCTCCATGATGTTTGGGGCTTATTCTAGCTCAGTGCTCAGGCATTACTCCTGGCAGGCTTGGGGGACCACCTGGGGTGTCCAGAATTGAACCTGAGTGGGCCTCATGCAAGACAAGTGCCCTACTGTATTATCACTCTTACCCCATTAAAAAAATTTTTTAAACTGAAATGGAGGCATGAAAAACTTCATGAATTGAAATATTCAATATTATAAAGACTATTAGCCTTTTGTTTTATTTCCAAAAAAAATCTAATCTAACCTTTTGGCGAGAGGATAGAAATTGATTATAAAATTCAGATGAAAATTCAAGTAACAATAAAAAAACTAAGGCAATCTTCAATATGTAAAACCAAGCGATGAATTTACTCTATCACCTATTGTAAAGCTATATGCTATATTAAAACAATATAGTATTGGCACAAGAGTAGATATATACAGCCTAGTGGAACAGAATAGAATCCCGAAACATTTTTGACAAACATGACCACGTCCAAATGTAGATTACTATTGACAAGATGGTTTTTAATTTTTTTTAAACAAATTTTAGAGTCACACTATGTTGTGAATAATATGGCTTTCTTATGTGAACTTTACCTCGGTTTTCCATCCATAATTTTTTTTGGATTTTTTGGGTCATGACTGGCAATGTTCAGGGGTTATTCCTGCTCTGCACCCAGAAATTATTCCTGGAAATGCTCAGGGGCCATATGGAATGTAAGGGATGGAACCTTGGTCAGCCAGTTGCAAAGCAAATGTCCTTCTCGCTGTACTATCACTTTGGCCCAATTCATAATGTCATAACTAGTAGGAAATCAAAATTGAGAAATTCACAATGATATAATCTAGAGATCCTAAGATTTCAGTAGATTTTTATATGCATTGATTTGTGTCCATATGTGTAACTTCAAGCAATTTTGCCACAGGTGTAAACTGAAGCAATGATACAGTCAAGATACATATGGTATTCCATTATCCCAATGGGCACACACGCTAACTTTTAAAGCCACATTCATTCATTTCCCCACCCTACACCTAATGCTTGGCAATCACTGTTTTTTCCATCTCTATAATTTTGTAATTTCAATTATGTAATTATAAGATTTCAGAGCTTGATATTTTATTTCTTATTGTTGATTAGTGCCCCGTAGAATGCCTCATCTTTTTAGTTTCTGGGCCACGTGTGGTAGGTAGTGTTCAGGGCTTACTCCTGGTCTGTGCGCAAGGATCATTTCTGGTGGTGCTCAGGGACCATATGGGATGCAGAAGATTGAACCCAGGTAGGCTGCTTGCAGGGAGAATGCCACATATTTTGAAGTTCACCTATGTATAAAAATTTAGTTGTTTTATAAATTCAAGGCATTATAAATAAAGCGTCTACAAGTATTTGTTAATTCTCCCCCCCACCCCCCCCCCAGCCACAGCCACCAGCTCTCAGAGGCGACTCGCATAGCATTTCTCAGGAACTGTTCCCAACAGCAGTGCCAGTTACCCACTGCCTGCTGTCTGCCTAAGTACCAACCCTCTCAACTATCTCCCCTATCAGCCCATGAACATGTAGGAAAATTCGCCTGGGATTTGTCATTGCTGGGTCAACATGTATGACAGATACAATTTCTCCATATCGTTTCTGATATTTGATTATAGTTCTTTTTTTTTTTTTTTAAATTCAACTCCTCTAACTAGCGGCCAGTGATATCTTATTAGAGTGTTTCTTTACTTGGTTTTGCTGTTTTATTTGTGGTGCTGGGGTTGAAACTAGAGTCACACACGTCAGGCAAGTATGCTGAACCATATCCCTGGCCTTTGCTGTAATTTTCAAAATTTGTTTCTTTTTTTAATTGCAACCATTCCTGCCAATGCTAAAGTCTGATAATACTTGCTATCCTCAGGGTCAGAGGCTACCAGAACAACACACAGCAGAGCTAGGGGTGGTAGCATGTAATGCCAGATATGTCGTGAACCCTTTCACATGCTAAGTTTGTTCTTTACTGTTTGAGCTGTATTTCCGCCCTCTTAATTATATTTTTATTATCGTTTTGACTGACATTCTTTATGGCTAGTAGCGAACATATTTTGTGGGCACATTTTTGTTTCTCATCTGTATATCCCTCCGGTCAAATGTTTGTTCACTCTTTTCTATTTTTCATTTTACAATGTCATTGCTGTTTTTCTGTTTGTTCGCTTTTGCCTTTGGGTTACCCCCGGTGGTGTTTGGGGGTTACTCCTATCTCTGCACTCTGCACTCAGGAATTACTCCTGATAGTGCTAGGGGAACCATATACACGTTTACGTATTTGGTAGGCCACATACAAGGCAAATGAACACTCTGCCCTCTGTACTATCTTTCTGGCCCTTTCTTTCTTTTTTTTTCCTTAATAATGTTTATTGAGTTGCTGGTGGAATCTACAATACTGTTAATTATAATTGTCATGGATACATCATTCCGAGGCCACACCTGTCACCAGAGTGCTAGAGTGCCTGCTTCCCTCCACCCAAAGGCTCCTCCCAGAAGCCCCCAGTATTCCCAGTCCCTCACCATATGTAAGTTCATACATATAAGCAAATCTGTGAAGAAATTCTTCAGTACTAGTAAGTTTGGCCATTTCTGTTCCCTTACTATGTTTTTTATCTCATATTTGAAATGGATCTCTCTTTCTGTTTTTTTTTTTCTGTGTGGAGGCATCTACACAGACAGGTGAACAAAGATAATTTCCTGGAATTCCACAAAATTATAAATCGATGTTAAATTAATAAAGTAATATTTTTGCAGGCATACAATTTTTAAGTTAATGCTATGAATAATTCTATGCTAATACATTTTAAGATTTTCATAAAATAATCCAACAAATATCAAATTTAGCAATGAAGTGAATTAATGAAAATACAAGGGGATAATTATTTTTAAAATGAATGGTTCACATTTATTTTCCACTAGTCTATAGCATTTTAAAATGTACTAATAAGGTTTATGAAACAGCAGTTTAAAAATGTTTCTGATGAGATAAACTTTTCAAGTTTTCTTTAATAGCTCCTTGTTTTTATGTTTGATAGCTTGTCATGTATAATCAAGATATTCATCCATATTAAGAAATCTTACCTGACTTGATATTGACTATTCTGTTCATTTTTTTCTAAGAATTTTATAGTTTTATTTTGTGAATTTGAATATGATCATTTTGTATTAATTTTTTTACAAGGTATAAAGTTTACAAGTTAACTTTTTTTATGCTTATGGGTGTCAGATGTGTGATGATTTGTCTATAGTATGTTTTTGCAAGGTCTTTCATATGTCCTCAATACATTTCATGTTAGTAATTTGTGTTGGTGTGCATTTTGCTGATTTGCTTTCAAAGAATAAAGTTTGTAGTTTATTGTTTTTAATATCTTTTCAACATATCCATTTCATTTATCTGTTATTTTTCTTCTAAACTATATTTTTATTATTTTGACTACACATTTCAGAGTCTTTCTCTTTTAAACATAATTATTTAGTACTATTAATTCATTTCCCTCTAAGAAATCCGTAAGATGCATCATATCGGTTTTGATATATTGCATATTAATTTTACATTTGCATCCACATTTATCTATATTTAACTTAAGACTTCCTTTTTAATCAATGTAGTTTTTATACGTACTTAATTTTCAAGAATTTAATGAATGTCGGGGCTGGAGAGATAGCGCAGCGGGTAGGGTGTTTGCCTTGCATGCGGCCGACCCAGGTTCGATTCCCAGCATCCCATATGGTCCCCTGAGCACTGCCAGGAGTAACTCTTGAGTGCAGAACCAGGAGTAACCCTTGTGCATTGCCAGGTGTGACCCAAAAAGAAAAAAAAAAGAGTTTAATGAATGTCTTCTAATTTGATTTCTTCTTTTATGCTAAAGCTTTTTAAATTGACTGAGATACTGTGATTTGCAATATTATTAAGTAGGTTTCATGTGTTTTGCTTGAATTCTTTGTGTTCTGAAAACATACTCCATATATATTAGGTTCTCTGTGTAGATTTTTTTCTGGATATCGTTATTACTGTTAATATTCATAGTAGTTTATAAATTTTATTATTTACCTGGTGTGTATTTTGTTAACATCTGTTTCCAAGAAGATTGATGATATTTTTAATCTTGTCAATGTGTAGACTAAAACTAACACTGAAGTTGTTTGACAATAAATTTGTCAATCAAATCCATTCAAATAAAATTAAATGACATTTACTGTCATTTCATTTCATTTTAAATTATGTATTTAAAGTCATACTACTTATTTCATTGATTACTTTTCTATGTATTTTTGTAGTATTTTTTTCCACCTTTTTTGCTCTTTGGGTGGGGGCAAGGTAGGTCTCAGAGCCGTATGCAGCTGTACTCAGGGATTACTCCTGACTTTTTGCTCAGGAATGAGCCTGACTTGAGGGACAATATGCAGTACTGGAATTGAACTACGACCAGTGTCATACAAGCCTTAGCCTCTATTCTGTCTCTCTGGTCCAAATCATCTTTTAAAACTACCAAAATAACGGTATAAAAACATTTGTTTTCGGTAGCCAAGAAGGACTTTCAACAATTTCCCAGAGAATGGTTTGTAATTTACTGTTCTGAAAAAATAAACAGCTTGAACAATAAGCCTAACATACCAAAAGTTCTATGTACTTAGGAGAGAAAAATAATACAAAACCAGGATTTCATTTTTTTCTTACAGAGTTGCTGTAATACTGATGGAAGTCCATAGTCAATAACAGCAAACAAATGTTCTAAAACCAGGTAATCTCACAATTACTACACCATGTCAGATGGGGTTCAGACAGTAGTTCAATCATAGAGAAACATATAAATATATGCCTCTAGGAGAATCCAGCAAGCTACTGAGGGTGTTCTGCCCGCATGGGCAGAGCCTGACAAGTTCCCCATGGCATATTCGATATGCCAAATACAGTAACGACAACAGGTATCATTCCTCTGCCCTCAAAGAGCCTCCAGTCGCTGGGAAAAGATGAGTAAGAAGAGGCTGCTAAAATCTCAGGGCTTGGAGGAACAGAGATGTTACTGGTGCCCACTTGAGTAATTTGATGATCAACAGGATGACAGTGATACAGTGATACAGTGATTCTCACTTAATATAGTCCTAAATTTTATGCATTTTGCTTTTTCCTCTAAGTTATGTCAATTTAACTATGGATTCTTGAAAACTTTGTCTCTCCTTAAGACGATGGCTGTTCTAGTCTTTTGCCTGAATCATTTGGCAGTTTCTCTGCTTTAAAAGGAAAGCATCATTAGTGTATGTGTGATATTCCTTTAAAAAGAAAGAAAATAATATTCTAATGTTGGATAGCTATAGTCATTCCCTATTGTAAGTGTTGACACAGTATAAAAATATTTGGTCATTATAATTAAGACCAAGTATTAATATACAAATAATAATCTTGGCAGGGTTAGAATTTACATATAATGACTAAGGAACAATATGCATTTAAAACACGTATTTTAAGTCAGTTCAAATATAATGTATTTCAAGTCATTTCAATTATATATATAATATGTAAAAATTATAGTTACTAGATATGTATATCAACATCTATTTGTAGTTCAGTGTGTTCAAAGACTTCATAATATAGTCTTCTTTTTCTTATTGAATAGAAATTTTAAATATTTCTAGAAGTAATGATTAGGGAGCAAACTCAAGTAGAGTTTGCATGTCAAGCATGTTTGAGACCCTGAATTCCATCTTGACACCACCAGATTCTCCCTACCCAGCACCTATGGAGGGTCCAGGATTCCCTGGGACAGCACTGGCTCGAGAAACAGTTGTCTGAGCATCATTGGAGTCATCTCTCTAAAAAAATTCTTTATAAGGTGCTGGAGAGATTATATAGTAGGTAGGGTACTTATCTTGCACATGGCTGACCTGTCTTCAATTCCTGGCAACCCATTTGGTATCCCAAACACTTCTAGGAGTAAGCTCTGAGCACCATCAGGTGTGGCCCAAAAAAGGAAAGAAAAAAAAAGTCTTCAAAGAAAAAAATTATTTTAAGGACTCCTTAGATCTGGCAATACTTTCGTCTGAAACATAGTTGTTATTGATATTAAGTTGTTATTGGTGTTTCTGGGGGGTGTCTAGGGGTTCTCTCTGCCCTTGGAGAAGCCCACATTCTCTCTTGAGTATGTTACTCTCTCTCGTCTCTCTCCTCTCTCTCTCACTCGCTCTCACCCTCTCACACTCTCACTCTCTCCCTCTCAGAAATCCTCCAAATAAAATCTATTTTATTTTACAAAAACGTTGTTATTGATGTTAGTTGTTATTGATATTAATTTAGACGGAAATTTTTACTGAGCAACTTGTAAATTAAATTTGATATATTTGTAGATGTTCATTATTTAAAGCCTATCTTATGACTATCTTATGACTAGTCAATTATGATGTAAAAATGCCCTTCTTATCACAATCATTATGAAATGTATCTTTATAACTGAAATTCTGTGAAGATAAAAATCTACTCATAAATTATTTAAAAATAGAACCAAAGACATTTGGTTTTTATCTGATTTTAGTTTTATCTGATGGGTAAACAGGGGGAACCCTGTCTTTTTAAGAATGTGCTTTATGATCATAATACTTCTGCTAGTTCTTTGTAATAACAATCACATTGTTGAGAGGAGGAATTTGAGATGTCTTATTACACTACTAACTTTATATTGAGAGTATAAAAAGGATCTGGAAGAATAAACATAGTATATTAATAAAGTTTTCAAAAATTTTTGCAAGATTATTTAAAAAATTTGCTTTTAAAAAATTTTAAAAGATTATTTAAAACATTCAAATAATAAAATTAATACCTAAAAAAGAATTATTGAGATATATTTGATATAGAAACAACTACACATATTATGAGCAATTTGATGAGTTTGGATATACAAAACACCCATGATTACCTATCAACATCATCAAAGAATATTTTCCAGAGTTTCCTTGTATACTTTTCTATCTGGTATACAAGGAAACTCTGGGAAATATACTTCCCAGGGCACTGCGTGATGTTTACTTTTATTACAAATTTTGAAGATCCATTATCGTATTTTAATTATAGTTTGCTGCAGGTTGACTTTAGGTTGACCTTGCAACCACTCACTACTTTCGGACTCTTATGCAGCTGATATTAAAAAGTTCAGATAAGTGAAATGTTATACCCTTTAGTAATAATGCTTAATTTCAGCCCTCTGCTTACCCCCTACCAGATTTTATTCTGAATACTACATATGTAATTTTCTTAAACCCTATATAAAATATAAAAAAATAAATAAAAAATAATAGCACAAGAGAAAATTTATCTCTTGTGCTTTTATTTTTTATATTCATATACATGTAAAATAAATATATAATTAATTTTACATGTAGTATCTTGATTGTGGCTTTGGGAAAGTCAAAATATGGGTGATGGGAACTGTGTGAATTATGTCTGTGTTTAGTGATGAAGACTAAGAAACACTCAAATATGCTCCTTCTTCATGCCTCCTCCTGGCTCTATGACCTTTCCCCTATCTCGACACTCAGTCCTACCCTATTCTGCCATCCCCAGCAAAAGAAATTTTAAATTTAGGCAAGGAATAGCTTCACATTTTCCTTTCTCATTCATACCCGTGACTGTCCTGGAGGACTCAGCCCAAGTCAAGGTGCGATTTTGAACTGCATGCTGAGAATCCAGATTGAATTCACAATGAAATCGTGAAATGTATCGCCCAGGTATGGAAGATGAACCAGAGGAAACAGAGCCCAGCAGGATTTTTTTCTCTCACCATTTCTTTCATGTCAGCCGCTGGGGGGTGCACCCAGATACGCAACTGATTGTGAGCCAGGACGCATAGGTCCATGAAAGCCCGGTCAGTGATGGTTGGAACTTTGGGAGACGATTTACTAGTTACCAGATAGAGACCTAAAGTCCATAGCCATCTCAAATTCTCCCTTAGCATCGTGATGGTGCTCCAAGGCTGCTATGACCGTGAGAGCCCTTAACGGCGGTAGTGGCTTTGTCTGCCAGTCTGCCCCAGCTCCAGATGATGCTCGCCACGGACTCAGTTCCCCTGTACAGCCTCAAACGCAACACAGGGGGAGCTCATCAGGCTAGGTTCTAGCTCAGAATACCAGGCTGGGTACCATAGCAACAGAATTACGCTACTCAGAGCGCCTGGCTGCAGGTGAAACAATTGAGTCGTCTATTGCATCCTACGCATTTGCCACCACGTTGTTCTTCGCGTTTCTATGCCAAAAATGATTGCAAAGGGTGCCCGGACAGCGAAGAACTGTATTTTGAAAGTCTATTGTGTCACATCTTCCTCATGAATTAATATAGATGCTTATGTATATTGTGTAATATGTATAACTAATGTGTTAATACAATAGGCACCAATAGCTTTTCCCAGGCCTGGGAAATACCTACGCTAGTTTCAGAGGCTGTTTCCTTGTATAGCTTTTAAAATCACTTTAAGCAAATATCAGCATCAGATTGCCACCCTCCCCCCCCCCTTTTTTTTTTACTCACAGGGAATAAAGCAAGAAGAGGTATATTATTTACTGGTTGGCAGACTGTGATCTTAAATTATCATCTTACCACTTAGCAATTTAATAATTTAATTCCTTTCAATGGCAGAGACTGCCTAGAAAGAAGCAGACAATGAGAAAAAGTGTATTTAGGTATACTTTTCAGTTCTTCTGAACAAAACCTTTCCTTATTGACACTTGTTTAGAATAGAGTTACCTATCATTTGCCTACCATTAGATGACTACAGATAAAATAAAAACTGCTATTAATTGGTATGTGACTATGACTGTGATTTAATGCATGAAAGAGTACATGTGATTTCTACTTTCACATGTGAATCAACATCACTAGGTTTAATCTTTTATATCATATACATTGTTAATTATAAGCCAGATTTTGAATCTGTGGCATTAAAAGATTTTTCTTCATGTCTTAAAGGTTTTAAATATATTTAATAAGTTGAGATTGCTTTTACAGTGCCATGCAATTCAAGTGAACACCTCCAGACATCTATAAAAGGTCAATTAACAGAAATTGAAAACTTTGATGTAACTGGTTATCTTTTGATATAAAGGAGAAAATTCAATGGGGAAAATACAAGAACTCTAATGGAAATTTTACTGGGAAATAGAAAAGAAATTCTAATCTACCATCTGCTAATGAATGTGTGCATGAAATCAGTGATACTTCTATAGCCCATACTGTGCTGCTGATACACCATACCCTAATTAAAATCTTCCTTCAGGACTAAAATCTTTCCAGCTTGAAAGGTAAGTTTGGAACAGACCTACCGCTTGGTGCTCCATAGATTTCAGTTAATGGTAACTATCTCGGTGAACTGAAGCACCATACTGATTGATTATTCAGGACCAAAACTTTGGGGATTGTTTCCCTTTTACTATTTAATCTCCAACATCTTAATAGTGGAGGTTAATAGTTGATGAACAACTTAGTAATCTTTTAAGACTTTAAAGATTACTTCCTGTTGATATTTTTTTGCTGTTGTGGTGTTGGCTTTTTATTGGTGGTGGGTTTCAAACTCAAGGTCTTATACATATGAAACCTGTGCACCCCTGAGCTATCACCCTCTTGTTCTTAAAGCAGTTCATTTTTTCTGCATATTATTACTTTATTCTTCTCTGTAGTTGTTAAGGTTATCCAAAAAGAGTCAACTGAACATATATCTCTATCCTTATCCTCCATTTACATACACACATTTTACTTAATTTTTATTAAATTAATTAATTAATATTAATTTTCCTGGAAGAACTTTATTTTCATTTTTTTTTCTCAGCAGCTTATTGGGCAATTTACCTGAATTTTACCTCCACAGTAAAATAGAAATACAAGTGTACGAACCTTCCACTAGAACCCCCATCACAACCCCCTCAGCATCTTCCTATGCTTGTGGAGTTGTAGGACCCTCCACACAGTAGCCTGCCTTGCAGAACCTCTCCAGTTGCTACCTCTGATACTTCACACTTTACATATAATGTTACCACACACACATTTTTTCTTTTTTGGGCCACACCCGGCAATGCATAGTGGTTTCTCCTGGCTCATGCGCTCAGGAATTACTCCCGGCGGTGCTCAGGGGACCATATGGGATGCTGGGACTCGAACCTGGGTCGACCGCTTGCAAGGCAAATGCCCTACCCGCTGTGCTATCGCTCCAGCCCCATTTTAAAGAAATTAAATTGAAAACTGGCAGATTGAAAATGGAGGTAAGAATAGGTATTGAACATGGAGCCTAGAAACTGAGGAAGAATTTCTGTTTGACTTTGGAGGCAGAATACCAGTGTTGGCGAACTTCACTGGTTGCTCTAACACCTTTATCTTATTGGACAAGACCCACCTTTATTATAGTAAGCTATAATACTCAAAGTATGTTGGTTTATATGTTAAACACTATCCTCAAGAAATATCTAGATTTGTGTTTGATTATATAACTGATGTCCATAGTCTAACAAAGTTTATGCATAAAATTAACAATCATACTCTGGTCCCTTTTTAAACACTTTATCTATGTATCTTATTACTTTAGGATATGTTGTTTTCAAATAAACTTACAAATGGTGTTAACTTTATTTTTAGGCAATATTGTGATCACATATTTTTTTTCCCTTTCTGGAAAGAGTTGACCTTTTTGTCAGAACCAATATCATTTCTGAATGTACAAAATAATATAATTCCTTTACTTGACTTTTCTGTATCCAATCTTTATTTTCCCAGAAAAAAATTATTACTTTAAAAATTAACACACTCTCTTCTCAAAATCCTCAATACTTCCTGTAACAATTACAAAATCTGAAATTCTTGGTATGGTCCACAATGCACTAGATCTGGCTAATCTTTGTTTCTCCTGTGAGAATCTCTGACTCTTGAGAAGGATAGTCTCTCCTTAGGCCTTTCCTTCTTGCCTTTCCTTTTCTGAGAATTCTTCCTAGTGAAGCCATATATCCCAAATCACCTACCTATAGTATTAATCCCTTTAGTTTGTTAAGTTTTCTTAATTGCTAACTGATATTTTATATATATTTTAATGATTGTAACCTCTATTAGATGAAAGTTTAACCAAAATAGTAGATGTATTTACTTCATTGCTCTATCTAGAGTACCCAGAACAAGTACTCATCCCTTATAGCTACAATAAATTTAGGTAAACTCTGGCGTCTGGGCGAGGTTATTTTGAAAAGACAATGGCAAATTAGAAAAACTGGTTTGTGAAAAGAGAACTGAATTAGCATCTAAATTGGGCATCTGGCATTTGGCTGTATATTTTTATTTATTTATTTTTGCTTTTTGGGTCACACTCAGCGATGCAGAGGGGTTACTCCTGGCTCATGCACTCAAGAATTACTCCTGGAAGTACTCAGGGGACCATATGGGATGCTGGGAATGGAACCCTACCCGCTGTGCTATCACTCCAGCCCTACATTTGGCTGTATAACTCAGGAAATTTACAGCATATTGGAGTGGAGTGGAACCTTAAGACTATCCTGAGTCAATTTTCCTGCTATTGATGAGTTTAAAGATAGAAGAATAAAATCGACATTTATTAATTCTTAGGCTTGTTTCCTTTTTTTATTATAGCACAGCGGGTAGGGCGTTCGCCTTACAAGCGGCCAACATGGCCGACCGGAGTTCGATTCCTCCGCCCCTCTCGGAGAGCCCGGCAAGCTACCGAGAGTATTCGATATGCCAGACACAGTAACAACAAAGTCTCCAATGGAGACGTTACTGGGCCCGCTCGAGCAAATCGACGATCAACGGGAGGGCCTTTACCTTTACCTTTTTTATTATATCAGTATTTAATTATACAGTTAAAGAATTATGTCCATGTCTGTAGAAAATAAATCTAGAACATTGAATATCTTTTTAAAAATCACTGCGAGATCTTTGCAATCTGATATTAAAACATATGCTTAAAGCTTTTCCCCTTCAAAACGTTACTCAGAGCACAAAATGGGGAGTAACACTGAGACAGCCAAGTGTGCCCAAAACCCCCAAAACAATTTTTTTTAAAGCAAAATTTACAAAACATCATCTGGCAGCTTAACACGTGGTTTACACTCTATTCACCACCTTAAAAGAAATTCCCATAGTAATCACTCGATCCCCACGGTGGATCCGGGCCGGGCTTTAGCCCTTTCCCGGGGCCTAGGAGACGCTCTGAGTGAGTCCGCTCCAGCTCCCCGCCAGGGTTTAGGGGTGTTGCAGAGCGTGTCTTGGCAGAGGCTCCGACTACAGTGTTGGGGTGAGAATTCACCTGTCCGGGGCCAGGTCTACGGGGATGGGAAGAGGGTCAGACGGGAGAGAGATTGCAGTTTGGGGTCAAGAAGAGCAATAGAAGGTGCGTCCAGCCCAGGCGACTTCTTAGACTTTTTATTCCTGCAAGTGTGAAGCGGGCTGGAGGCCCTTGAGGGCGGCTTCCGTTGCCAAGCAACCCGCGGACGCGGGATGGACCCGCTGAGATTCGCTGGAAATTCTCTTCCCAGCTTTCTGTGCCTTAAGTTTTCTGGAGAGTTCTTTGTTGAAAATCCCGGATTCTCCCTTTTTTCCCCCAGCCCTCTCATTTTGCACCAGATTTTTCACCCAGCTTGTCGGGTCATGTCAGGCTGGCTGTCGCTTTTGTCCCCACCCAGACTGGGACATTCATTCCGGAATCAGAGCTCTGAAGTTTTATCACAACTTTGGAGGAAGTGATGGCGATTACTATGTTGCTATGTGTGAAATTAGGAATGATCCTAGTTCCATTCAGGTGTCTGGGTCTTGCCCACCGTTCAAGATAGATCTGGGCCCCACCTGCATTAAATTAGAATACTAAATTGTATTACACATTTATTTTCTCTCTCCTAGATGTGAACAGGTTATTCTTTGCATTCCGGTTTCATTCTATTCTGGTAGAGGCAAAGTTATAGCTTTTCATTT